ACAACTATTACTGATACAGACGTAAATACGCGAACCTGCCAAATTTCATATACCCGTAAACACGTGTAAATGTAGTCTCTTCCTACCTGAACTGACTTCACTAGATGCCTACGTCTCTTGAGTCTCTTAGATAGTTCTCGACATGTGAAATTCATGTACGGGTTGGTCTCTTCCCGAATGCCATTTGCTCATCCCTGTTTCCGTCAGTTCAAACTAAAATGATCCATAATACAAACAGATGACAAACAGCTTCGTTTCTGAAGGACCCTCGACAACTATCACCGAAGACATCCATGAACGTAGCTTTTTTCTAGGAACCATTTTCCTTCGCCTTCTTTCGAATTAGTAGGCATTCGTTTAACTCTCCAAACAGTGGCGGAGGAGTTCCGGGCCAGCGAGGTCGGTAAAGTCACTGGGCGTGGCCTGATCGAAGGGGATAAGTTTCTCTCTTCGTCATCCAGTTCAAACAAAATATGCCCTACTGAACCACCCATCCAAGAGGCATAAGGGACTACTTGGATAATGAAGCCGTAGCGTGAAACAGACCGCTGACCTCCACTGAAGTTAGCGGCGGTACCTTCGCGCGAGGGGGCACGCGGTAGAGTAGTTGGTTGAGGCACTATGCTACAAACCAGAAGGTCGCGAGATCGAATCCCGATGAGGTGGATTTCTTTCAATTTACCTAATCCTTCCAGCCGCACTATGGTCCTGGGGTTGACTCAGCCTCTAACAGAAATGAGTACCAGGAATATTCATGGGGGTAAAGGGCGGCCGGCGCGTAAGGCTGACAACCTGACCGCCATCTATGAGCCGACTGTCTAGAAAATGTGGGAACCTCAACCTCTCACAACCCTACGGGCCTGCAGGGCACTGTTACAGGGATACTTTTACTTTTACTTTACCTTCGAGCGCACACACACCGGGACAACCGTCACTTTCTGCGGCAGTAGGTACTCGAAACACAGCAGATAACTGAAATTCTCTACTTCTATCGTTCATGAACACAAATTACCAGTAAAGGTAGCTCAGAGGCAATACGAATGCCGTGTCTTCAGCTATGTTATCCGGTTAGTCAGGAAACGTACCTATCGACAGGTTTTATTCGGCCCGTCCATGATATAGTATCCAAAAACGGGTAAAGACTGCGTTTTCCTTTATACTCAAGACATGTCTAATAGCACGCTCACAAATCGGAAATCATACGTCGTATGATATTCCATTCAGAACGTGAATGTAGAAATGTCTCATACATGATACAGAGCGACGCCGAGGAAAACAATAAAATGTAAACTGGAAAAGGGGGAACACAGAGAGAAGAATAGAGGAAACAATCGTATTTATGCCACGTCTATAGTCCTACCTATAACTGAGCTCTTGAGAAACCACCAGTTGCTCAGCCATTAAAGAAATTCCCAGCATTTTGCTGAACCCAAAGATTCATTGCCATGATCAGGACCCCTACTAGCACCAATAGTTGGTTACACGAATCCAGCCCGCTCTGTCTTCCTATTTCTCTCAGTCCGACATGCCGCGTTTAGGTTTGCAGAAATAGACTTCTTCCAAACGCCATGGGTTTGTAACGGACAGAATATACTAGTACCACTAGGTTTTTTTTCTGACTTCTTTCAACCAAATTCCTGGATAGTTCTACAAAACAGGCAAAGATCTTTTCGTAACAACCTTTCCACTTTAACATTCATAATCCTGCAATGACCCATGTGATGTTATATAATGATTACAGCTGAAACAGCGCCATTATATAGAGAAATACATATATATATTTTTTAAAAGAGTGATGCCTTCTGGGATATAATGTCGTGTAGTCCGGTATTTCGGAGGAACATATCGCATCCATCTTCAGGCTCGAAGAGTAAGCCAAGCACGAAATAAACACGAAGCAGACAGCAGGCTTGCTCTCTACTTCATGCCAATTTCCTGCTTAACTTAAATTTCGATCCTGAAGACTGAGGCGATTTTTCTCCGAAACGTGGGCTTTCACAAGGCTACACGGCATTATACCTCAGAATAAAGAAATATTCACAGCGACCGCTCCTACAATTTCTGTAGCTGATAACTCTCAACCTGCACACGCACACAGAACGTCTTACTCTTACACGTCTCAGAGTCTCCACAGCCACGCTTTGCGTAACGCCTTCGCGGGCGCATACTTCAATGATTTAGAGCTTTAGGGAAATCTCCTTCTCAAACTAGGGAGCAGGGATAGCTCAGTTGGTACGGCGACGGCATATGTGTTGTATGGTAGAGGAATAGGGGTTCGATTCTCGCAGAGGCAGATTTCACTGTCTCACAGCGTGCAAGCCGGCTCTCGGATGCAACCAGCATATGTAATTGCTACGGCGACTGTAACTCCGGGAGTAAAGCGGCAGTAGAGCGAATCTGACCACTCACCTCCAACTAATGCCGAGGTTAAGAACACGTGGAGCTAAACCTCTACGCCTTGTGGTGTGGGCATTACTTAATTAAGCACAGGGGTAACTTTACTTTTTATCCGTACTATTATTTGTAAGGTCCAGATATAAACTTGAAGAAAATCCGTTATGAGTTCCCGAAAAATGAGGGCGGACAGACACGATCTGTCCTACATGTAATCATAACGCGGTACCGTATTACTGAACTCGCCACAAAAGCCCCAGTGTTAGTGCCCGCAAAGAAAGTCTAAACCAAATGAAACGAACACACACACACACAAAAAAAAACTCCGTAGTCTGTAGTCCGCAAGCGAACTATACCGACCGAGCGACCGCCGCTTCTCTGCGAAGTTGGTGCCAACTTTTGCGGATAGAGGGTGTCACATGGTCTGCGCAACGGATCCCCACGGCCTTTAATCTCGGTTTTCTAGACCGGAGCCGCAATTTCCTTGAAATAGCTCCTCAATTATCCTCACGAGGCTGAGTGGACCCCGTTCCAGACCCACTACTTCTCAGAAAATCTGGTAGCGCCGGGAATCGAACCTGGGACCTCTGACCACTAGACCACAGAGGCGCTCCAACGAACATACAGCGTTAACACAATTCTGAGATTCATGCACATGGGAAAGAAGCTGCTGTTATGAATTGTCCGTTATTCTGAGCGTGGGTGCGGGGAAGCCTTCAATCAAAGTTCACTGGTGGGATGGGGCGCGAAGCACCAGTCCAGAGTAAACTGTTTGCTATGAGAAATATGACAAGGGCAACACAATGCTCGCTCCTTCAAGCAGTGACCTGGTCCTGACAATGCCCCGAACTGAGATCTATCTAAACTGGACAGGCTATACAAGTAGGCCTACACATATCCAGGTCACAGGGTTGCTACCCCATTATATGCATGACGACAGGCCCACTGACGTCATCACTTGACCTTTTTAAGAGAAAGTGCCGCCCCTTTGATCTCCATTCTGAATTCCACTATAAGGGGGGTGGCTGCTCCATGCAGATGAAGGGGCGGCACGTGGCAATCCCTTCTCCATCTCATATGGCGTCATCCGGTTCGAGTTGTTACAAACATCGAGCGATCGCTTTCTTCATCAAATATCCTGTGATTTCGAGCATATCGATTTTGGACTGGCCTACTTTCCCGTACTTGACCTTACCCACCGCGGTAGCTGGTAGCCAGCGAGCCTCATCCGAGCATGGCACTACGATATCGAGCACAGAAAGTCGCGGCGGAGTACACACACTCCTACTTCGTATTCTGGAGGCCCTGGGTTCAACCCCAGGCTGGGGACTGGTTACCTTGACTGAGATATCTCGCTCTCTTCCTCAGTTCCTTTGGTAAATGCCAAACTATGGCTTTAACTTACAACATGACATCTTTGAGCATTATTTCCAATTAATTATTCAATAGCCATCCCTCATGCAACGCTATATAATCTTGGCGTTTGAAAGTGTCGTTAAATAAACCAAGAATACCATATTATCTTTCGACAAAACAAAAAAATTCCGTAGCCTGTAGTCCGCAAGCGAATTAGACCGAGCGACCGCCGCTTGTCGGCGAAGTTAGCGCCAACTTTTGCGAATAGAGGGTGTCACGTGGTAAGCGCAACGAATCCCCACGGCTCTTAATTTCGGGTTTCTAGACCGGACAATCAGAAAACATAAAGAAAGAAATTATGGATGGAAAGGCCGAGAAGACGAGTTGGTAGCCGTACCGGAAGTCGGGGTGTGGTAAAGGACCGTATGACGGTCAGGGATCTTCAGGTTCTTCAATATACCACGGAACCTGTTTCTAAACACAACACAAAATAAACTGAAATACTTGCGGTTAAAACGGGTTCCTATTTAGCACAGGCACATCTGTTTCCACCTAAAGAAAGCATGGTCACATGGCAGAAATCAACAGAGCAGTTCTCTTCCTGGGGTGGAGTCCAACTGGGTCCACTCGGCACGGCGGCCACTGATTGGCCTACTGTAGCCTGCCCCGGGTGATTATGATGATGGATAATTTGGTGGAATGAAGATTGGCAGGGGAAACCGAACTTCTCGGAGAAAACCCGCCCCAGCGCCACTTTGTCCACCACAAATCTCACTTGACCAGACCCGGGATCAAACCCGGGCCGCCGCGGTGGGAAGCCAGCGACTAACCGCTTGAGCGACGGCGCGGCTTTACATTTATACGTACGTGTTTCAAGACTATTCCGGGTCAGTTCAAACAGATGCCAATGGGAACGCTGAGAATGAGGATTTAAGTTAACAACAGCAAGCTGTTTTAGTACCCATCTGGCGTACCGGTGCCACAGTTTGATAAACACTGCATTATGATATTCGTTTTGATATCAATTCCAGGAAGATGGCAGATGGAACAAAATTAAACGAGAAAATCCTTCAAGTAAATTATTTTCCGTTAGGTATTTGTATTCCTTTCGTAGCTTCCAATTCTTAGAAGCAATTTGACATCGATTTTCATCCTATATTCAAGGGAGAAGACAGGATATCGGATAATGCAGTTTCGGGCGTACACAAGTTTCACTACACTATGACTTCACCATTTTTCATAGATCTTACCTTACTGACAAGGAAGTCCTTTTCATCGAAGTGTCTACCGAACATTTTGGGCGCTTCTCCGGAGACGGGCTCGATCTTAATGCACACCTCCTGTCCTTTTCTTGCACTTTCCACTGTTTTATGGTTGATTTCGATACTCGTCACTACACCCAAGTCCACGAACTGAAAAAGAAAACAGGTTTCAAAAGACAAAAGAATTTCGACTTAATGGATTTACCGGCTATAAACAGGTACGTTCACACCCTATTCCGTGCCACTGAATCAACATCTGAAGTCCAACACGTGGATATTGCTAGGTCAAATATGAGATGATATGCGATTTCTTCCGAGTCCATGAAATGGAGGCTGAACTGCCATTTAGACATGAAAACGAACATATAATCAGGGACCCATTCTGGACCCATGATTTTTATTCGGCTTCGTAATCTTTTTTAAACAGACGGTAGGACTCAGACGAGTGATCAGCCCGTCGCAAGGCCGCTACCTAAACACAGGACAATACAAACACAGGATAAACGCATACACACACCAAACATTCATGTCCTGAGTAGGATCCGAACCCACGATCCCAGTGTCCGAGCGAGCGAAGACAGTTCAAGCCTTAAACCGCGCTCCTACTGTGACCGGCGGGTTGAATTCATATAGGCTTATATCATTATACAGACTTAGTTGTGCATATCTTGTGTCGTTAATGCTTTTTTATTACTCTTTGGGGTGGAATGAGGCCGAACGCCTTGGTACTTAGGCAGCAAGCGAACCAGCTGCACGAGCCTCTGGCGACAGATGATAGAAGAGTGCATTGGCGAGATGATAACTGACAGGAGAAACTGCCTCAGTGTCATTTTGTCCAATAAAAATCCCATTTGGACTGCCCTGGGGCTGAAGACGGGCCTCCGCGAAGAAAAACCGATGAATAACGTCCTGAGCTAGGGCATGGATGTTGTTAGTGTCACAATTAGGTAAATTTATACACGGACGGTAAACTGAAATAGGTTAGCGAACTGAGCTTGTGAGCTGATGGTCTTAAGATCGAATTCTACTTCAGTAAGTTCTGACTTCGTTTGAAATTCTTAATAAGTTACTATACAGTATCATCGGCCCTTCAGATAAAGCTTCAAGGTTCGCATCATCGCCATGTTTGTAACTGCCACTTGCAAGCACGCGCAGAACTTATAGGCAAATTTTATTCCAAACTTCATATTTCCAACTCAATCATTTCATTAGTTATAGCTGTCAAAGTGAAAATTAATTGGGAATATCCGCACGACAGCCATGTTGTTCCACAATAACTGCTAACTTCACGTTTTTTTTTCGACGCTCGGACTAACAACGTCAAGTGACTTACTTACTTAGTTACTCATGGAGCCGCCAATTCTGCAGCTACTCAAGAGGGGCTCAGCATTTTATGGAACCCGAAGGTTCATTACCGTGTTCACAAGAGCACTCCACTGGTCCCTATCCTGAGCCAGATCAATCGAATCCATATCCTATCTAAGATCCATTGGTCTTCCTAGTGGTCTCTTTCCTTCTGGCTTTCCAACCAATATCCTATATGCTTTTCTCTTCTCTCCCATTCGTGCTACAAGCCCTGCCCATCACATACTCCTTGACTTGATCATTCTACTCGTAATTATACGTGGAGAAGAGTACAAGTTATGAAGCTCTTCATTATGTAGTTGAGAAGAAATTCACACTTGACAAGTGATCTACCGTTTGATCGATCAGTCAAGAAACACTAAACAGAGCCCCGCTTCATCTTAAAGACTAACCATTTGGCACGATAGACTACAAGCCTACGCCTCCTAACAATGAAGCCATTTGCAAGTAAATATCAATATGGCGGCATAACTTTCGAGACGTGAGTAGACCACTTGGGATGTCAACCAAGCTGGCTTAGCGTTAATGAATTTGGACTTTAATTCAGGTAGTGTTGGTTCGAGATTCGACCGGGCCGTCCACTATCCTGTTCACTCCTGCCCCACTGTGTACTAATTAACTTCAGCAGCTCGCAGAGGCCTAAGCTCATCCACACATGCAGCACCCGGCACCTGTCACGGCCGGAGAAGCCCAAAGCGTTGTTGCGAGGATACGGAAAGGAGTATCTACTACCGCTGCTAGGATGGAGGGGAAATCCCCTAACTATTAAGATAAGCATAAACCTGCCATCAAGTTCATCAATTTATAATGATTAAATAATCATACAGCTCCATATGTTTCGGCCTCAATTCCCTGTCTTCAGGGGCAACCAAACTAAAGGAAACTCTACATGATTTATTTAAAATATTTCAAAATATATGTCATTTAAATTAAATGGAATTTTAAATTACTAAAACATCCACAACTGGTACTATGCTCAAGTGCAATGGTGGACAGAGATGCATGTCTGTGGGTACGTTGAGGAGAGAGCGGAAGAAGGGGGAGGAACGACGACGGGAAGAATATGAATGGGATGGGAAAGCAACACGGAAGGAAGGAGGGCAGGAAAGGAAGAAACAAACGATTTTCCCGTCACCTTTGACGGTCTAGGACCTGCATTTACATAACCTATGAAACCAGTAATCTCGATCGTTGCACTGCACGGCCCAGAACAGTTAGTCCATTATTAGAATTAGAATGAAAATGTGGAGTTAAGGTTCAGATGACAGTGACTATGAAGAGTACGGTCCTCCGGGCTGTAAAGCCTCCTAGTTCAGAAGCAGTCCGACGTTTCGGAGGAACATGCTGTCTCAAATGCAGGTAACCATACAGCCTGCTTCTGATGGTCTGAATTATTCTTCCACCACGAACATGAAGGCGACATGTTCCTCTGAAACGTCGAGCACCCTCCGCGCTATATGGCGTTACGATCCATAAGCCCGTTCCTTTCACAGATCGACATTACAGATATGTTGGGTATTCTGATAAAGAGAAAAACATTTCCGATATATGCACTCCACCAAAGGCCGAATATAACCTAAGTGCTTCCATTTGAGTACAGTGGAAAAAAAGAAAACTCCGTGGTTTTAGTCCGCACGCGAACTGTACTGACCGAGCGACCGCCGCTTGTCGGCGAAGATAGTGCCAACTTTAGCCGATAGAGGGTGTCATGTGGTCAGCGCAACGGATCCCCACGGCCGTTAATCTCGGTTTTCTAGACCGGTCCATTTGAGGAGCAATGACTAAAAAGCCAGCTCATCGTGTCTATATGGGGAAAGAAAGAAGATTTATCACCCCTGTCACTAACCAAAACTGAGAAGACCCACGACATGGAGTTTTCGGTCCCTGCGCCTCAACATGTGCAAACCAAGCGTGGGTACCTATTCGGTGGTTGACTGTAAAATTGTGGATACATTCTATTGCTGTGACGTATGGGTATTGTTTCGGCTAAGATCACAGACGATCAAGGAACTGAATCGTGCTTCTTGTTGGGACGAGATGTTGACACAGGTGCGCACTGCAATCGTTATATACGAATTATACTTGCCAAGAAACAACGTACTTTAACTGTTTATTTGCTTTACGGGCGCTGTCGCGGGTGGCTTAGGAGACTCTGTGTACACACTGAGAATCCAAGGAGTATTTCAGAAAATATCCGAGATAGATGAAGGCATTATCATACGAGTTGGCTTGTTACTGGATTAAAATTCGGCTCAAATGCCATTGTTAAAAGACTCAGAGATGAAGCTTAAACTATATTAACCTAAATTCTAGATAATACATTTTCTCCTCGTGTAATGTTTATACTAACGCCTCTGCGGTATAGTGGTCCGAGTTTCTGGCTACAGATCCAGATGTCCCGGGTTCGATTCCCGGCGCTATCAGATTTTGTGAGAAGTAGTGGGTCTGGAACGGGGTCCATTCGGCCTCGTGTGGAAATCTAAGAAATCATTTCAAGGAAATAGCGGATCCGGTCTATAAAACAGAAATTAACGGCCGTGGGGATTCGTTGCGCTGACCACGCGACACCCTCTATCCGCTAAAGTTGGCACTAACTTCGCCGACAAGCGGCGGTCGCTCGATCGGTATGGTTCGCTTGCGGACTGAAACCACGGAGTTTGTTTTTTGTTTTGTAATGTTTATACCACCTTGAGCACTTCGTTTGAAATTAGGCGCGGTATGTAGGCTTGAGATAGGCCTCAGTGACCCTGTAGCACTAATAATTCAATTACCGTTTCATATGACTTTACGACATTCTATAGCAGAAGTCTTGATTTCTCGAGTCTGGCAAATTCTGGGAATTAGAGAAAGAGTAGTCGAAGGAGGTGCGAAAGTTGAAAGACGTTGTGTACATGGTTATTTGGCGAGGGAAAGACATCTCTCCGAAACTCTTCCTTTGCTTGCAGCACGAAGTAAAGGGCGGTGGTGTACTGCGAATCAACTTCAATACAGTTCAGTTCCTGCATAATGCGTTATTACCAGTTCTGCAAACATTCATATCACGGAATCAGACGAGTGTTAAACAGATCGTATGGAATAAAATACCACATAGCCACACCCGACAAACTATTTATAATACGCAAACATTCGCGAAACAGGAAAATCATTCTTATAAAACAAATTTAAGCCGATCACAGTGGCCGCGCGGTCTTCGCTGGCTCTAACGCTGGGATCGTGGGTTCGAATTCCACTCAAGCCATGGATGTCTGTATTGTGTGCGTTTATTCTGTTTGTGTTGTTCAGTGTTTAAGTATAGGCTTTGCGACGGGCTGATCCCCCATTCAAGGAGTCCTACCGACTGTGTATAGGATCAAGAAACTGATAAAGCGGCTAAGGCCCAACAAAGGGCTGTAGAGCCATAATAATTCAATTCAATTCAATTCTTTATTATTTATGTGCCGAGTCAACAGCCGCAAGGCCAATTACAGACACAGCACAGTGTAGATACAAGTAATTATATTATGGACAATCACAATATAAAGTCAAAGAGAAACTACAAGCAAGCACTCGAGGAAAAACGCATTAATGCAAACATGTAAACAAACAATAATAATTTCATTAACATAAATCAATAATGCAGACAAGTAAACAAAGAAATAATAATTTCATTAAAATAAATCTAAGTTGTTGTTGAGAACTGATAAATGNCCACATATACACGGTGCCAAATCTCAGAAGACTGCTTTCTTCATAGTCACCGCCGTGAAAGCCTCAAATCTTACAATAATTATTCAGTTTAATTGTTG